TTCAACGATTTCATATGGAAAAAGCTAAAGTGGTGAGCACACCTCTTGCTACACACTTTAAGCTTAGCTCTAGACAGTCCCCATCTAATGATGCTGAGAAGGCAGAGATGCGACGTATTCCTTATGCATCTGCAGTTGGAAGTTTGATGTATGCAATGGTTTGCACAAGGCCAGATTTAGCGCATGCAGTTGGTACAGTAAGCCGCTTCCTTTCTAATCCAGGAAAGGAGCATTGGAATGCAGTGAAGTGGATTATGAGATATCTCCGAGGCACATCCAGTTTGAAACTTTGTTATGGAACTGGAAAACCTGTTATGAATGTTTACACAGATTCTGATATGGCTGGAGATATTGATACCAGGAAGTCTACATCTGGTTATTTGGTTACCTTTGCAGGGGGAGCTGTTTCATGGCAATCTAAGCTTCAGAAATGTGTTGCGTTGTCCACAACAGAGGCCGAGTTCATTGCAGCTACAGAAGCTTGTAAAGAGTTGCTTTGGATGAAGAAATATCTTCATGAACTTGGCGTTATTCAGAAGAGGTATTTCTTATATTGTGACAGTCAGAGTGCTATACATCTTAGCAAAAATCCTACTTTTCATGGCAAATCGAAACATATTGATGTACGTTATCATTGGATTCGAGATGTGCTTGATCTCAAGTTATTGGAGTTTGAAAAGATTCACACAGATGATAATGGTTCTGATATGATGACTAAGGCTTTGCCAAAGGGGAAGTTTGAAACTTGTTGTTTGATTGCCGGTTTGGCAACCACCTCCACATAGTCAGGAGGGGGGAGATTTGTTGGGCTCCCAACTATGTGTCATCTTTAATTAAAAGGCCCAAATATTTTTGGAGGATAAGTCCTCAATACATTTTTGTCCACATATTTTTTGGGAGTAAAGTTTGGCAGATATATACCACACACCACGCATGATTCACGCACAAAAAAAAGGAGAAAAACAGCCGCAAGGGAAGAAGTAGCCGCTGGTTTTTCCAAAAAAACGCAGGTCTGGTTTTTCTATCGATCGGAGGTCCAAATCTTGTCCGATCGAGCTGAAATTTTAGGAGGAGTCTAAGGACTCGTGGAGCTTCAATCTGAACGGTGGAGATCGAATTTCAACGGTTCAATCTCAAGTTATGAGATTCGCACCAGCTGCTGTTTTTTTGGTGATTTCTTGTACTTTTGTTCATCTATTTTGATTCTAGTGCCTTCGTAGTATTGTTAAGGGCTAGATATCATTGTGGTGCTGTTATATTGTGCATTTGTACTCTCAATTTGGTGGTAGTGGAGTTGGTTGGACCGAAGGGTCTCGTGGTTTTTACTCTTTCACATTGAAAGGGTTTTCCACGTTAAAATCTCGTGCCTCATATCGTTTTATTTTCGTATTTGGATTATCTTGTTGCTTGGTGTTCTTTGGTGTGTTTGTTTGTTGCTCCTCATAGATTCATTCAAGAGGGAAAGGTGTTGATCTTGGGCACTACACATTCATTAGTGTTCTTGCTTTCCCAACATAGAGATCAATTGTGTGTGGCTTCGAGAGCTCAACTCGTAAGGTTTGAACTCTGAAATTGGTTTGAACATGAAACCTTAATGAGTCAAGCTTGAGCTTGAATAAAATGAATTAAAAAATTTGATATTTTATTTTATTTTGCATAAAATATAATTCATTTAGAGACGAAGGGAGTAAACAAGTGGATAATCTCATAATTATCATTCATATGGATGCAACATATTGATGCAACAAAACTGGCTGCCAAGAAAGTTCAGGCAATGGGGGTTATGCGGAGTAGCATATGACCTCAGAGCTTCAAAGCTGTGCAAATAGAAAATGAAAAATGCGACCAATTTTTCCAAAAGATAAATTTATCTGTACATTTTTTAGGTATTTTTAATATAAAAGTTTTAGTATTTGATAAATGATTATAGCTATGTACTAAGCTCAAATTTAATTGTGTATTTTAAAAAAATCTCGTAAAACAATTACCCTTTCTCCTTTCTTTTTAGATATAGACAAAATTATATATACTCCCTCCGTTTGCAAAAAGACTTCCTATTTTGACTCGGAGAAAAAATAAGGAAGTGTTAAATTATACGGAATAGTTGACTTCCACTTTTGCCCCTGATGTAATGGATAAAACTAAGATGTGATCGATAGATTATTAGAGAAAAAGTATGATTTGATAGGTAGGGTATGAAAAAGTAAGGGTAAAAATGATTTTTTAATAGAAAGTGGAAGTGTTTTGTTGGAAGTAAAAAAAATGAAAGAGAAAATATTTTTGAGAACGGAGGGAGTATAGAGTATGTGCGGTAACTAGTAAGTAGGTAATGAATCTCTTTAAAATTGTACTCCCTTCGTCCCAAAATATTTGTCACACTTGTTTTTTCAGCAGTCGCAGGAACTTTTGTTTATTTCTACGTTTTCATTGGTTATTTGATAAAATAAAATATTCTTGACACCTCTTATTTCGAAGAATTTTTCATGTAGTTTTTTTATATGTAAATTTTTTTTATTTTTATACCAATATGTAAATAAAATGAATTGAAAAAAACTTAATATTTTGCCTCGGAAATACAAGTGTGACAAATATTTAGGGACGGAAGCAGTATGTAGATCGGGACAATTGTACTGTATGAAAGAGAATGCCATACCATCTTTCAAATCTAATGGATACATTCACCAAATATTACTTGTATTCAATCTCAAATCCAAACTTTGCTAGTGTGAGTTGTGCAGTTGGCAAAGGCAAGGAATGCAAAAGGGATAAGAACTGAGTTCGATTTCTAACAACTGCAATGAGAGACAACTATGTTAAAAATATGGTTTTTGCAAGTATCAGGTGCAGACTGCACTCTTTGTCAATCTATCTGCGATCAGTGACGGATCCAGGATTATAGGTGACTGGGGGCATTGTATTATAGGGTCTGGGGGCTATATCTTCGGATTTCTTTTACAGGCAATGTAAAATGACAAAAAATGTTAAAAATATTCCAAAGTAATACTCCCTCCATCCCAAAAAGAATGGGACGGTTTGACTTTTTGGATAATTAAGGGAGGGATATTTTGATATTGACTTTCCAAAAATA